TTTCTGTTCCTTAGTATGGTATTTTTAGGTTTATCCTGTAAACTATACATTGTATTTAATAATTAATAAAAATAATTTATTACCTACTTATTATTCTGAGTAAAGTACAGCCGTTGGAATAGGCCATATTTGTCAGCTGAACAACTTTACAAAGGAACATAATGGTGATAAACAAAAAAGAATTCGACCTCCCATACAAAATTCATAATCAGCTGATTGACTTTGTATGAGAAGTCAATTTTTTTGGGTTTCGTAGTCTACTAGAAACCCTTATAGTTTCGTCAAGTCTGTCTGTCTGTCTGTATGCCGCACCCTCATATCTTCGTCAGTTTTGGAGCTATCGAAATGAAATTTGGTGAGAAGATAGATCGTGTTGACATAAATATAGAAATGTTAAGAAAAAAATATATTAAATGTTTTTTGGACCCCCTCCCATACAAGTGAAAGGGGGGCAAATTTTTTTTTTCTTCTTGTATATTGAGTAGGGTTTCGTTGAATAGGTCTTTTAAAACTAAGGTGAGGTTTCTTTGAAACAAAGTCACTAAAATGTTTCTGTCACGAGATATTTGCTTTAAAAAAGGGCGTTTTTGACCCATAATTTGTTCCAGCTGTAACTTCTAAAGTATAAACGCTAAGAATTTGAAATAAATATGGAATGTAGCTTACAATCTGAAGTTACAACAAAAACTATATCGGATATTGTACCTTTAAAGGTTTCAGAAAAAAATGAGTTTTCCTATTTGCGGTTGGTCATCATACTGCTGTTAACAAACCAGCAACAAAATTAAGTTTGTAATGCTGAAAAACCTGATATTTAAACGTTGACTACGAAACCCTATTATTTTGTGGGCGTGTCTGACACGCTCTTGGCTGGTTTTTTTTCTTTTACCACCATTTGTTTACTCCTGCAAAATTTTCGCTACACCGTCCCTTACTTCCCTGTATGTACGAATGTATTCCTCACTCCTATGAAAGCTAAAAAGCCTGCTAAGCTTCTGTATTATCCAATTTCTCATATCAACAATTTTCAACTTCACTACCTGTCGGTAACATACCTGTACCTACAGTAATTTTGTTTCATAATTACTTGCCTACGTCATTGAGGGATTGATGAGCCCTTATATCTTAAAATACGCCCTTTAAGTTTAAACGGGAACTTTCTTGTTCGAGGGGAGATAAAGGGCTATTGCACAATATAAGTCCCTTCATCGTACCAGGAACCCTTTTAAAGTTTTATCGGCACATACATTTTATCAACTTAGTTTTATTATATACCGGGAGTAACGGAAAGGGTATAACAAGCCGCAAGGAGGTCAAGGTACTCATGAAACTGAACAACTTTCCCTATGGAACATGGGTCGAAATATGAAAAAAAATTTGGTCCTCCCATAGTAAATTTATTAGCTGATCGGCGATTTTGTATGGGAGGTCAAATTTTTTTTTTCATATTTCGACCCATGTTCCATGGGGAAAGTTGTTCAGTTTCATGAGTACCTTGACCTCCTTTCGGCTTGTTATACCCTTTCTGTTACTCCCGGTATAATGATAAGATCTATTTTACTTAGTCAAAATGTCTTTTAATGTGGGTTTTAGAGCTGTCGAAAGTGGCCTATTCCAACGGTCGTACTTTACTCAGAATGATATACTTGATATACTTGAGCTTCTTGGCATGAACCTTTCATCTGACCTGAACTTTGGACAATATATTGAGTCTTTGGCCACGACTGCAGCAAAAAGACTCGGAATTCTCTCGAAGGTCAGGCGATACTTCACACCAGTACAGCTTTACAACTATACCAAGCTCAAGTCCGTTCCTGCATGGAGTATTGCTGTCACCTGTGGGACGGGTCTGCCAAATACCAGCTGGCAGCCCTGGACTCGATTGAGAAGCGCGCCAAGAAACTCATCGCTGATAGGGCACTAATTGACGCAAAGTTACAGAGCCTCGAACACCGTCGCAAAGTAGCTTGCTTGTCGGTATTCTACAGGATACATTTCGGTGAGTGTGCACAGTCTCTCCATGATCTGATACCTCCGTCACCATTCCATCTCCGGTGCACGAGACGCCGGTTGGGATTCCACCCTTATATCGTAGACATCCCGCAAATTCGCACTAAGCGCTTCGCTTCTACATTTTTAATGCGAACTGCTAAGGAGTGGAACTCCCTGCCTGCGGATCTGTTTCCGGATCGTTATAACCTGGGCCTTTTCAAGGCGAGAGTGAATAGGCATTATCTGGGCGAGCATGTTCCATCATCGTCTGCATCGTCACTTAACATCAGGTGAGATTGCGGACAAATGCTTACCCATTATTTATAAAAAAAAAATATCTTAAGGACGTTTTTCACTCACTGAACAAATTTTGTTAGAACCCATTTAAAAGATCAACTTATAATGGTTTCCCTAAGTAAATGTATGATCCAGTATAATTAGGCCTCTTATACAGGGTGTTAGTTTAAATGCGTGCCATAGCTTCAGGGCAGCTCTAGTGTGCGACAAAGGATGCTGTAAAAAATAATGAAAAAAATCCCAGACACAAAAAAAAATGTACTTGGCTGACATTTGATTCAAATGCCTATCAGCTGAAAATAGTTCCATCTCAAAGCTGTTGTCAAGACGAAAGAACTTGTATGGGCACCCTCTAAACAACAACAGTGTCATAAACTGATTTTTCAAAAAAAGTTTTGCCAGAATAATTTTTTTTTCAATATTTTTTACGGCAACTTTAATCGATACTTAACCTACCGTGAAGCTATGACACGCATGTAAATTAACACCCTGTATTAGTACGCCAATCTTAGTAGATCACAAAGGGTACAAAAAGGTATGTATCACAAGATAGCAAAGCAAGCAAAGATATTTCAATTTAAATATCATTCAAAAGTATATTGGCAAAGATATTGACCGCGGTAGCCCAGTTGGTTAGGGCGTCGGCAGTACTGATGCCGAAGGCCGCAGGTTCAAATCCTGCCTGCGGTGAAAATTTTGGAAGTTTTCCAAAAATATTGGAAGTGTCTTTATAGCGGGGCGCCCCGCTCGATAGTCATTTAGGCTATTCACCGGGGCGCCCTGCTGAATAGCGCTATGTCTATGGATAGGCTATTGAGCGGGGCGCCCTGCTAAACAGCGCTTTGTCTGTGGTTTGGCTATTGACCGGGGCGCCGCTCCGCCGTTATTTCGACTTGTATGTAGGTATCATGGTAGGTTAAGTACAGGGCAAGTGTACCCACTTTGATTTGATTTAGCCTACTGTCCAACTAGAAAAAAAAGACGCCAGTAGTCCATACTAATCCTTTCTCATCCATCCTCATCACTTTCTCACCCATCGCCATGACTTCCTCACCCATCCTCACGCATCCTCATCACTTCCTCACCCCTCCTCATCACTTCCTCATCGATCTTCATCACTTCCTCACCCATCCTCGCCCATTCTCATCACTTCCTCACCCATCCTCATCACTTCCTCACCCATTCTCATCACTTCCTCACCCATCCTCACCCATCCGCATCACTTCCTCACCAATCCTCATCCATCCTCATCACTTCCTCACTAATCCTAATCACTTCCTCACCCATCCTCATCACTTCCTCACCCAACCTCGTCCATTCTCATCACTTCCTCACCAATCCTCATCCATCCTCATCACTTCCTCACTAATCCCAATCACTTCCTCACCCATCCTCATCACTTCCTCACCCAACCTCGCCCATTCTCATCACTTCTTCACCAATCCTCATCCATCCTCATTTTTTCCTTACTAATCCTCATCACTTCCTCACCCATCTTCATCACTTCCTCACTCATTCTCATCACTTCCTCACACATGCTCAACACTTCCTCACCCATCCTCAACACTTCCTCACCTATCCTCATCACTTCCTCACCCATCCTCATCACTTCCTCACCCAACCTAGCTCATTCTCATCACTTCCTCACCAATCTTCATCCATCCTCATCACTTCCTCACTAATCCTCATCACTTTCTCACCCATCTTCATCACTTCCTCACCCATTCTCATCACACCATCACTTCCTCACCTATCCTCGCCCATCCTTACCCATTGTCTAGACACACGGCAGTGTGTCCGCCAAGTTCGAGCAAAAAAAGCGACACACCGGCCGTGGGTTATATTACACGAACCATTTCGGGCCAAGTTCGACCCACCTATAACTCAAAATCTATTTTATCTACGCATATGAAATTTCTAGTATCTGTCGAGATCTACTTACTTATCTAAAATTCAAAATTTCATTAATGTACCTATTGTAGGTCTTGAGATATTGACGTCAGAAAATCGCTATTTTTACTATACACTCACTGACTGACTGACTGACTGACTGACTGACTGACTCACTCATCAAAAACCTAGACCACTTCCAATGGTCGTATTGACTTGAAATTTGGCATGGAGGTAGGTCTTTAGGTCAAGGTAAAGGAAAAAATCTGAAAATGGCCAAGTGTGAGTCGGTTTTAAAAATAATGAAGGTGTAAATTCATACCCCTAAGGAACTAAAACAAAAAAATTATCTATATCTTCCAATCGTCGTACCGATAGTTACAGGAATGCACACTTGATTTTCCGCAGTTTGGAAAGTAGTTCTTATTTCCAAACTGCGAAAAATCAAGTGTGCATTCCTGTAACTATTTTTAACTGAGCTCTGTGTATGGAACTTGGTACTTATTTAGATCTCACTTCTTTTATAGGCGAAGCATTCCAATATTATCGAACTTGGCAGCCTTTCACATTTATGTTTTGGGTGGTAGAATAAACTCCAAAACTACTCAACCAATTATCTATCTCTTGATGCTCATCTCCAAGCGACGATCCAGCGACATCTGTAGAAAATTATTTAGAACTTACTACATGGTTAGTCCACATTATGAGTGGAATTCAAACCATATATGATGAAGCTTGCTTAATCAATCTATTGGGATTGTAATGCACTCACAGTGCTATATTATTCTCACAAGTGAAAATAAGAAATAGATAAAATGACATGCATCGACCGGGGATCGAACCCGGGCCGCATGGGTAAACGCCCCACCGCTCTGCCACTGAGCTATTGATTACAATCCCAATATACTCAACCAATTTCAAAAATTCTGAGAAAAGTGATGAGGACGGGTGAGGAAGTGATAAGGTTGGGTGAGGATGGGCGAGCAAGTGATGAGGATGGGCGAGGATGGGTGAGGAAGTGATGAGGTTGGGTGAGGATGGGCGAGCAAGTGATGAGGATGGGCGAGGATGGGTGAGGAAGTGATAAGGATGGGTGAGGAAATGATGAGGATGGCCGAGGAAGTGATGAGGATGAGTAAGGATCGGTGAGAAAGTGATGAGGATGGGTGAGGAAATGATGAGGATGAGTGAGGAAGTGATGAGGATGTTTGAGGAAGTGATGGCGATGGGTGAGAAAGTGATGAGGATGGATGAGAAAGGATTAGTATGGACTACTGGCGTCTTTTTTTTCTAGTTGGACAGTAGGTATATTATGCGAGCGAGGTCAAACAAACATAGATTTACTAAATCAAATCAAAGTGGGCACACTTGCCCTGTACTTAACCTACCATGATACCTACATACAAGTCGAAATAACGGCGGAGCGGCGCCCCGGTCAATAGCCAAACTACAGAAAAGCGCTGTTTAGCAGGGCGCCCCGCTCAATAACCTATCCATAGACATAGCGCTATTATTCAGCAGGGCGCCCCGGTGAATAGCCTTAATGACTATCGAGCGGGGCGCCCCGCTATATAGACACTTCCAAAAATATTGGCCGAAACCATTTGCGATTAAAAAGTAAAGAAGAGGTCTATGAATATCTAGCGTTATTCGGCGCAAAATTTTTCAGTAACGAATAAATTGAGCTGCATATTTATTGAAATAAACACGATTATGGTTGGCATAATGCAAAAGGCGGAATTCTAAGCAAGAAATTATTACAATCAAAATTAGTTCTACTTCCATCTTATACGCAAAATCGGTTGCGCCAAACAGCGCTAGATGTGAGCTGACCCTACAACGTTTTATTTTCTTTTTCTTTACCTTTATGGCAACGGCCAGTTCGTTCGTTTTGAAATGCAGTCGGAATAAAAAGAGTTTTCATATAAAATCGGTGCAATACTGGTCGAAACTGCCGAGAAAATGCTTGCAAAAGCCATTTGCTACGGAAAAGCAAATGTGACATGTTTCGTTTTTATTGGTTTTATGGCATCAGCCAGTATCATGCATGAGAGATACAAAACAGTGTTGTCTGAGTTTTAGTTTATTTTTGTAGTTCTAGAGTATCTCCCTATTGTCGTCCGAATAGGCCATACTTATTTGACAACCGTCACACCGAAACCAGCAGACATAAAGTACGGCCGTCCGAACAGGCCATATTTGACAGCCATCACAGCGATACTAGCAGATATGACAAGAAAGAAAAATTAACATTATTTCATAGCGTTGTCGTGATTTTGACAGCTGTCAGATAAGGCTTATTCGAACGGTCATACTGTAACCACTAAAACATTTAACATATGTCCACACAAAACCCTGACCGAAAATAAAACCCGTACTTACTGTTTGGCCGTGTGATGCCGGCTTAGAATACCATCACCCCATTTTTTTCCTGTGGGTACCGTAAGAAGCGACAAAAGGACTCGAGGGTATCATGTGTATTGCAATTTTAGGCGACAGGCTGACAACCTGTCACTATAGCGATAAGTACACGACAATAGCTAAAACGGCCCTCAAATATGTGTCAGACGTGGCGATAACGACCGTACTTTTACGGTCGTTGACGCTCTGCCTACCCCGCAAGGGATAAAGGCGTGATGTATGTATGTATTGTATGTATGTACTTACTGTTTACTCAAGATCTTCTATCATCAATAATATTCAGTAATAAAACAATAAAATATGAGGCTTGCAAGTGGTGCGGCAAGCAATCGGATACTTTCCGAGAGCATGATTCTTTATGACAAAACCGTACAAATTACAATCAATTCATTATTTTCCCAGAAAACCCACTGAAGAAGAAGACGAAGAGAATCCAGGGAAGTAAGTACACGAAGCGGGCTTCAGTCCAGGCGCAAGAGCCGCAGGAGTTCATCATCATCATCATCTGCCTGCTCTTATCCCAATTTATTTGGGGTCGGCGCAACATGTCTTTTTCTTCCATTCATCTCTATCAGCAGTCAAATCCTCACTTACGCCTTTATTTTTCATATCGTCTTTGTATCAGGGCGTCCACCAGGTCGCATAGGAGAGAACAGAACGAGAGGAATAACGCTGTTTGAGACTTAGTATTGTCTTTTGTCGTGTGGGTGAGGACTTTGGCCGGCGACTTATTTGAAGTCCCTTTCACACATGTGGAAACGAACGAGACATCAGAGTGTCTCGCGACAAAAAAGTCACGTGTGTGATCGCGGTTTAATTGACGTCTTTTTGTCGTGTGGGTCAATAAATCGCCAAATACTTATACCGTTTAACTCTGGTGTCAACTTTTTTAAACCGCCTACTACTAGTAGTAGGTTTTTGGCATGGATTTGATACTTGCGAACTTCTTGTCATGTAGGAGTAGGACTCAAGTCGACGAACATGCTGATGATCTCCTGGTGTTAGATTTTTCAAACTTATCAGCTTATTCCATCGAATATTAGTAAAAAAATAAAGTTCGAATTCCGCGTTTCTCGGTATCGGGTGGTTTTCGGCCGACTTTCATAAAAATTGGACCATTGAAGGAAATTTTAATTTTAAAGGATTGTTATAAAAGTTGCATCCTAGACGTATCATTTTGAATCTCTAATTTATGTACCTGATAAAGGCCATGTTTGGTCTTTACTTCATGTTGACTTCATTGGACGAGTTAAAAATTCAAAATTTCCTGACTTTTCTGAAATTCAAGATTTCGGTTTTGTACGAAAGGAAAAAACCGTGAAAGATTCTAGGACCTGCGATTGTCTGTGATTTTGATTTGTGATTAGTTCTGTAAATATTTTATATTAAAATAAATACCCATGCAGATCTTTATAAAATATACTAAGACGAATATTTTTGTAGAATCTCTCAGGATAAATATTTTAAATGTGAAGTTAAAACCAAGTTCCGACAAATTGTATAAATATAAAAGTACCAACCTGATATTTTCGTGAATTTTAGAGTACAAAGACGCATCTTAATGTGATAATTGAGTTTTGTAATCAATTATAAATAATTATATCTAATCTAATTTATTGTAAATTCTTGCCAATATTATAAAAATATGCTCTCTAAATATTATTCGAGCTTAATGGAAGTGTCGTACGCTCGTTGTGTTTAAAAGTTTATGTTGTCGCAGTCAATGGTGGTTAGGGATTTTGAAGCGAAACGAGGATATTTTTCAGGAATAAACTTTTATTTAAGTTTTTGCAAAAATGAAAATTACATGTACATGTCGTCTGTGTGTTGACAATGGAGTCAAAAGTGAAATGTGAACGAATGAATGAATATAAACTGGAAGACAGAAAAAACAAACCGGAAGGGTGACTGAAATGGCTTTCTTGAATGAACGAACGGTTGAATGAATATTTATCTTACACTAAACGCTCATAGATGGCGTTGACATAAGCCGCCCGCCTTGGAAGCATTGGCTTCCAATGTAGTTATTCATCTTCAGGCGCATGCAGCGGAACAATCTTGGAGAATGCTCTTCTTTTTAGCCCCGTAGAGGTATGGACATCAGCAACCCTGACTATGCCGTCAATGCCCGGGTAGACTTTAGCTACTCTGCCAAGTTTCCAGCATAGTGGTGGAGTATTTTCCTCTTTAATGAGAACCATGTCATTAGGTTTCAAGTTGGAGTGATTTTCCTTCCATTTGGTTCTGACTTGAAGTTCTGATATGTATTCCTTAGCCCAGCGCTTCCAGAATAGCTGTCTTGCTTGTTCGATGCGGTCATAACGAGGTAAGCGAGTAGTCTTCAGCTCAGTTGTGTCTTCATGCAGCGGACGTCCCACCAGGAAGTGCGCAGGGGTCAGCGGCAGCAGGTCATCCGGATGAGCTGAGAGAGGAGTGAGGGGACGTGAATTTAGTATGGCTTCTATCTGTGCTAAGATGGTGCTGAACTCTTCATATGTGAAGTGAGAGTTGCCCATTACTCTTCTTAAATGATATTTACAGGATTTAACCCGCTTCCCAAATCCCACCAAAATGGCTAGCATAAGGAGGAATAAAAGTGAATTTAATTGATTCATTAGCTGCATAATCTATAATATCTTTTGACTTTGAATTTAAGAACTGAGAGAAATCTTTCATGGCACCAACAAAGTTTTTACCATTATCTGAGAAAATGTGTGCAGGTTTACCACGGCGGGATATAAATCTTTTAAAGCGAGTAAGTATGCCTCAGTTGAAAGACTTGTGACTGCTTCTAAGTGCACAGCCCTAGTAGCAAAACATACAAAGAGGCAGATGTAGCAATTTGTAAGTTTTGCTCCTCTGGTCGGCCTAGGATGGTTCAGTATAAAGACTGGCCCAGCATAATCTACACCAACATTTGAGTAGGAGAAGCCTGCTTGTAGCCTTTCAGGCGGATAATGTCCCATAATAGGGGAGGGCGTTTTGCCCTTCAAGCGTGTACATTTAATGCATTTGTTTACAATTTTTCTTGACAGGTTTCTCCCACCCAAAGGCCACCACCTATCCCTGATTGTGGACAGTAGTAGCTGTGGTCCAGCATGAAGTAAATGTGTGTGTTCATGTTGAAATAACAACTGTGTAAACCTGTGTTTAGCACTCAATAAAATGGGATGTTGTTTGTCATATGAAAAATTTGAGTTACCTAATCTTCCACCGACGCGAATAATTTGGTCATCATCGAGGAATATGTTGAGGCCTGATACACTACGCGATGCCTTGACACCAGTGTTGCCGGCACTCGAAAATCAAAAGATCCGAAATCTAGTCCGACAGGATCCGATTGGATCCGATTTTACCCAGAAGGGGCGTTAAAAAATTTGTGACTTTTGCCCGTGTTTTTGTGAAACATTTTCCTACATACTTACAAAAAAAGAGCTGCAATTTTTCCTAATTTGCATTTTTTTACCTTGTGT